GGATATATGTGAGATTTGAGGAAAAGTAGTGTTTCTTGGATAAATTTGGGTACTCCCTTGTTTGGTAAATAAATATTTAGAATTGTGATATCCTCCTGAAGGAGAGATCCCTTTATTAGTGTGTAGTGACCTACTTTTTCTCTTCTCACTAATTTTAATTTGAAGTCTATTTTATCTGTTATTGGATTGCAAATTTTGAATGTTTATGTGGGCCCTTTACTTGGTAGATTTTATTCCAGCCTTTCACTTTCATAATATGTTTTTTTTTTTCATGGGAAATTATGACTCCTGAAGGCAGCAGATAGAAGGATCTCATTTTTTAATCCAACTAGAAAGTCTATGTAGCTTAATTGGAGAGTTAAGTCCGTCAATGTTGAGAGTTAGGACTGAGAGGTCTTTGGTAGTTCCTGCCATGTGACCCATCTTCCTGGGGACTGCGACAACTTGGTTCTTCCTATGGTTCTTGGATTCTCAGTTTGGATGCAGCTTCTTGGCCTTTATTGTGGTCTTGTTGGTTTTCTATGTGTAGGACATCTTTAAGTATCTTTTGTGGGGCTGGTTGCTGGAGATATATTGTTTCAGTTTTTCTTTGCTATGGAAGGTTTTCATTTGACCTTCGGTTATGAGGAAGAGGAAGAGTTTAGCTGGGTACAGTATTCTTGGTTGATAGTTGTTTGTCTTTAGGGTGAGGTATACATCATTCCAGGCCCTTCTTGCTTTATTTGTTTCTGCTGAGAAATCTGAGGTGAGTCTAATTAGTTTTCCTGTATAGGTGAATGATCTTTTCTCTTTGACAGCTTTAAGAATCCTTTTATTATATAGGTATAAAGAAATAATACTAGTATTAAAGAAGTTAAACCTAAGAGGTTGTGAATTATGTAATAAATTCCTGGATTAAATATGTACACAGTGAAGTATAATGTTTAATAATTTACTACAGGTATATATTTGGGGATCAGCAGAATAACAAGTCACTCAAAAAAAGAAAGAATAAAGGATTATGTCTTTATCCCCAATCTCAGGTTTCAGATTCATATAGACACGAGGTCTCACAGTATTTTTCTCTCTGTAAACCTCTAAAAGACTTGAGATTCCTCTTGAAGATTAATAAAAGGAGAGTTAACCACATTGTCTGAATGGTGTGATCAAGTTTCGAATTTTAAATTTCTGTTAACTCAATTATAGATAGCATTCTTTAGTCTCAGAACAATTGTTAAACTCCTTCATTAAGCTTAGGATGTATAAGAAGTCACCTTTTCTAATTATTATTTCCTGGGCTGAATTGAAAAGTAATCCTTTTTGACAGTGAGCCCAATTTCATACAAGGGAGGTTATTTCTGGCTAACTTCCACTCTTGGGCAATTGAGCTCAAACATGTCTCTTTTCTGGAAACAGCACTATCATACTTATAGTCAATGGGATGGGAAAAGCTCTCCTGCAGAACAGGAAGACTTTAGCTATCATTCCTGCAGCCCAAGGAGGAACCTACAGAACTGTAAAGGTTAAATGCTGTGTGTATATTCCAGACAACTCAAACATCTCCCCAGCCCCTGTGGATCTGCACACTCAAATTGATACCAAGTCTGACTCTGTTCTTAATTGTAACAAATGCCTTGCTTTATGGTTCTCTGGAACCACTTGATGGGGAAATTTGTTATTTATCTTTATGGCATTAATAGGTGGGGTATATTAATCTGCACCTTATATAGTTTCTGAGGATTATTATGCTCCAGAATTTCTTGTTTGACTTCCTTTCCAGTTTGTGGTTAAAGAATGCTCCTAATGATGTCCTAACCTGGCAATCCAACAAAAGAACTTCCCATGTCACCCACTGATAAGATTGGACAAGATTTCAGATGTCAGTGTCCCTGCTCAGCCTAATGCAGTGACAGAGATGGATCTTCACCCATCAATGTCCTGTAAGATTAAGGGACCAAAGTAATTTGAGGGGAAAAGGAGGCAGTGTAACCTTAGAATACTGACGCAGGGTAAATAATTTCCAGTAATTACAAAGGCTTGTAGCTAATACAAAAGATATTTATCCATCTACATCTTATGACTAAGTGAACAAAGTCATTTCAGGGGAAAATGAAGAAAGATAATCTAGGGAAAATGAGGCATGGGAAATGGTTGCCAGACATGACAAGCTTAAAGGTAATCCATCCACTTTCCTTAATATTAAGGTAAGAAAGTCATTTTAGGGGAAAATGAGGCAGGAGAAATTGAGGAAACATGGTACATAGAAATACAGAAGCACTATCTTTGCTTCAAAGAGAGACAACATGGTGCATTCCTTCCTGTGAGGTGCATGTCTTACCCCAAGAATTAATATTGTCTGGCCAGAAATATACCCTCTTGTAAAATGCTCCCAAAAAACTTAAGCAACCTCCTACCCACATCGCAGACAACATGACTCTTTTTTTATGTCAGTGACGAGCATCTCTTTTTTTGGCAGGATGCATTGTTATCTGGGAAAAATGCCCCAAAAATTCAGAAATTTAGAAAGTGTAACAGCAGAAGTGATGAAAGACAAAATGTCTTTATCATATAAATATACCTGGCAGCCAAAGAGCTGTGTGTCTTTTCTTTCCTTTAGAACATTCACACTCTGTTAGAGTGTGTCTCTGCCTTTCTGTTGGTCTCCATGTTTGCTTGCTTGTTTACTAACTCAGTAAAGCTGTCAATTTTCTTACCATCATGACTTGTCCAGAAATTCTTATTTTGTGATCAAAGTAGGACTCTAAATGAAGAGTCCCTACTTTCAGAGAGAAACTTCAGTAACCATCCCCTGCATTTGGTGACACTACAGTCAGTATTATGGTTGTCATAGAATTCTGGCAGCCAGAGTTTTAACTAAGGCTTGTTTAAGCACATAGATCTATCTAGACAGATTTTTTTTATCCATTCCTTATAAGTGAGGCTCTTGCCTCCCCTAGGCCCCAAGGTTTTCAGGGGCCTGCTGTTCATTAGGGTGCTGCCTGAGGTCTTTTTGTACCACAAAATATTTGTCATCAAACTTGGGCCTTCTCTGATACTGAAGGTGGTTTTCACCCAACCAACTGACTTCCCATAGGCCCTGAGCTCCCTTTAGTGCCCACATCATGGAAATAACTGAAGTCTTAGTAACACTGAAGCCTGCCTGGAATTTTTGGAAAGAGGCACAAAGCCAGAGAAGGCAAACTGGTGTAATTATGAGACGTTTCAAAGGCCAGATGGTATCACATGCCAATATGAAGCAAGAATGTTCAAGAAAGATGAGTTTTCCTAGAACTTTATATATTGTGCCAGGAACTGACACATGAAGATGTAATCAATGTGGGGACCTGCTCATAGAGAGAGACACAGACACAGACACATAGACACACAGACACACAGACACCGACACACACAGGCACACACTCACAGATCAATTACAGAATGGACAGATCAGAGGATATCTCTGATATCTCCCATCTCCTATGGGGGAAACATTTCAAATGCTGGATTTCACTTGAGCTCAATCTCTCTCAACCACATCTACACACATTTTAGTAGGTTTCTATGTTCTTGGCTAGGCTTTCATGGAATAAAATATTCCTCTCCTGAACAAGTCCCATGCAAGGTGTTCTAATGCAACTTGTCAGAAAATATTCAGCCATGATTTCCCTGGTTTACAGAGAACTTTGTAGATGTGAAAGTAGAGAGTACGGATTCAATTAGAACAAACACAAGAATCAAAGTGTCTTTTAAAAAACATATGAAAAATATTCCAATCTAGTTTGGAAAGTTATGAGGGGAATAAGTAGGTAAGTCTGGAAAGGTGTTAGAGAACAAGGAATAGAAACAGAGAAAGCTCAGGGAATGACAAGAGACATGTCAGACATGACTAGCAGAGTAGAGGCTCTGATTCCTCACAGGGGTATCTCTGCCCCAGATATGAACATCTACATCAGGAAATGCTTGTCACCCTGGCCCTGCAAAGGGGTGTCAGCAGGCGGTGCCTCTAGAGACATTTCTTTCTCTATTGGGAGAACAAAGACACTGCAGGGATTTCAAGAAATTCTGCCTCTGCTGTTTCCTAATCAGAACCTTTGCTGCAAACTTGATTTGAATAATACAAAAAAATCGTAGACTCTGCAGGTGAATATTAATCATTGGTAAATTTACATAAGTTAAGGGGGAAAACAAATCTGGGATGATTCTTTTTTTCCCTGATCTGACTGGCAACTCCTAGATTCCCAAGGTGTTGCTTACATGAAATAACAACAGTTTATTAAAGCAGAAGCTGTGTGTCTGTCCTAAGAAATATTCCTCTGAGGAAAGTCAAAATAGTGTTCCTATTTTTAAAAGCATAAAAAATAGAATTTATTGAAAATATCCCTGGCCTTTGATCCATGGAAATGGACATTGTGCTGCAGTGTCTTACTATAGATGCTAAGTCATTCCTTGACCTTAGGCCAGGAGAACCTAGGCTGGAGGAGTCACAGAATCACAGCGATGGTGGGGTGATTGGGACAGCCCTGGAAAGGGAGACTGGAAAGGAAGACAGACAGAATCTTCTCTACCTCTTGATAGAAGAATATTCATCAGGAAAACCTGAAACATAGGAGATCTGTTGCAGTGAGGGCAGAGTAGAAGATCCAGAGATGCATTGATGGATGCATCCAACCTCTTCTCACCCGTTATTGATACCAAACAGAAAATTCAAATAGAAAATTACTTATGAAACCACTTACTAAAGGCCCTGTTGCTGCATAATAAGGTCGTTCATGTTGCGAACAAATTCCCCAGAATAAAGGGGGAAAAACCCAGCAATCATCGCATCTCCCTTGCTGTGTGCCACAGATTTCTCTGTGTAAAAACATCTGGCATCTTCAGAGGAACTGACCATGAGTGGATGCTGAAGAAGAAGTAGTGTCAGAGCGACAGGGAACATTCCTGCAGCCTGCACAGAGCTGTGATTCTGGCTGTAGACTGAGCCTGCAACACCAGGCAGGTGTCTAAATGGATCTTCAGTTTCTATGGTTTCTTGTTACCTGGATGGCCACTGGGATGCACCACCAGCCTCCTTCTCTGTCCTAGAGGAATACAGAGCCCGTACTGCCCTCCAGCTCTGCATCTGGGGTCTAGCTTCAAGGTAAAAAAGAAATGTTAGAAAACATGTATAGTATCTTCCTCCCCACACTCACAGGGCTGTGATTTCATCCAGGACTCTAGATGTTCAAACTCCAGGGATAGATTTCTTTCCTGTAAAGTTGTTTGGAAAGATGTATGGAAAAAAAGTTGACAAAGAAGTGGCAAAAAACTTATACTCATCTGAAAGCCACCTGGGGTGATGTATATAGATGGCACCAGAGGATGCCAGGTGAAGGTCAAAAGGTCAAAGTAGTCCATGGTCAGAAAAGGCTCAGTGACAATTATTGGGGCCCAGTCAAAGACCTCCCTGACACAGAGCAGGGTTCTGCCAAGGAGACTCTGGTCACTGCTGGGCTACTCTGACACCTGGGAAGAGATGTAGAAATATTGTCCATGCCTAGCAAGCACAACATTCTGAATCCAACATCTAAGATCACCAAAATAATATTGTTTGGATAAAGCACGGCCCATCCATTCCACTTCTGGGCACTTACCCAAATGGCCACAAACAAGGCCATACTAAAGTAACCAGTACAACCATGTTTATTTACCATAGCTAAGATATAGAACCAACCCGGATGCCCCAGAATAGATGAATGGATCGAGATGTGGTATATATACTCAATGGAGTTCTATGCTTTAGAAAAGTGTGTGTGTTCCATTTTGGGCATATCACCTCCAGCATTTGCTGTTACTAGATTTTATGATTATAGCCATTCTAACTGGGGTGAGGTGGAATCTCAATATTGTTTGCATTTCTTTCATGGCTAGAGAAGTTGAGCACTTATTCATGCATCTATTGGCCATTCTTATTTCCTCTTCAGAGAAGTTTCTCTTTAAGTCTTTAGCCCACTTATTAATCCAGCAGTTGTTTCTTTGAGGATTTGTTGTTGGAGGATTTAAATTTTTGAGTTCTAAGTATATTTTATATTTGTGACCCTTGATTGTTGTATGGATAGTGAAAAAATTTTCCCAGCCCCTGGGCTTTCTATTGATCTTGATAGTTATGTCCTTTGCCATGCAGAAGTTCTGCAGTTTCATGCAATCCTATTTGTCCAGCCTCTCTTTGATTTGCTGTTTCTGGGTCTCTATTAAGAAAATTTTGGCCTGAACCAAGGAGCCCTAGAGTTTCTCCTATTCCTGCCTGTAATGTTTTCAGGGTATCTGCTTTGACTTCGAGGTCTTTGATCCATTTGGAGTTGATTCTGGTGCAGGCTGATACATAAGGATCCAGCTTTAGTTTTCTATACAGGTATTCAACCAATTTTGCCAGTACCATTTACTGAAGAGGCTGTCTTTCTTCTATTCTATTTTTTAGTTCCCTTATTTACAATTAGGTGGTTATAGGTCTGTGTATTCATTTCTGGGTCTTCAGTTCTTTGTTTTAAATACATTTTTTATTGTAAAAATAGTGTACAGAGGGAGTTACAGTTACATGAGTAAGGTAATGAATACATTTCCTATCGAGTGTTGTTACCTTCTCCTTTGCTTTTTCCCTACCATCCCTTCCCTTCTCATCTCCCCAACTCCTCCCTCCCTCCCATCCTCCAAGTTGTAAAGTTCATTTTTAACATAGTGGCTTGTACATCTCATGGTTACAATGGGTCAACCTGTAGCCCTATTTAAGCATTTTGCTTTTTCCCTTTCCCTCCCCAAATTAGAAAAGTGTATATACAAGATGCAGGGCACTGTAATCAAATACAGTGAAAACAGGGGTTATACCATGGGGAAGAATATACAGAAGAAAGAAAAAAATCACATAGTATATTATAAATACATTAAAAATAATAGCAAGAAAGAAAACTTATATCCCTGACTTGGGGTTCATTTCATTTAACATCATCTTATATGGTTATATGTACATAGCTTTTGACCTTTTCTGCTTGTCCTAGACATATACTTGTTATTGCAAATAAGGGAAACCATGGGACCTATGTTCCTTTGGGCCTGGCTTACTTCACTTAATATAATTTTCTCCAAGAAGATTAGGTGGCTATAGGTCTGTGGGTTAATTTCTAGGTCTTCAGTTCTATTCCAACAGTCCTCAGGTCTGTTCTTGTGCCAGTACCAAGCTGCTTTGATTATTATGGCTTTGTAGTAGAGTTTGAAATTTGGTATTGATATTCCTCCAGCACTGTTCTTTCTGTTAATGATTTTTTTTGCTATTCTGGACTTTTATTATTTCATATGATTTTTTGGGTTGCTTCTTCTATTTCATTGAAAATGAGGTTGGGATATTGATTTGTTTCTAATTGAATTTGTAGCCGTATTAGCATTTTCACGATGTTAATCCTCTCAATTCAAGAGCTTGGGAGGTTTTTCCACTTCCTAAGTTCTGCTTTAATTTCCTTTTTCAGGTTTTTAAAGTTTTCATCCTAGAGGTCCTTCACTTCTTTACTTAACTTCTAGGTATTTTATTTTTTGTGGGTCTATAACAAATGGAGTTGCTTTCCTGATTTTTGGCCACACTTTTCTCATTGTTGGCATACAGAAAAGCCATTGATTTTTGAGGGTTAATTTTATTCCTGGTACTTGCCAAAGTTTCAAATCAGCTTGAGTAATTTGGGAGTGGAGTCCACAGGATTCTTTAAATACAAGATCATGTCATTTAGGGACACAAATATCTTTTTTCTTTCTTGCTATTGTTTCTAACATATTTATAATGTACCATGTAAATTTTTTGTTGCTTTCGATGTTCCTCCCTCACGATATAACCCCTGTTTTCACTGTATTTGATGTAGGTGCCCTGCATTATGTATATACACTTCTCTAAATCAGCGAGGGAAAAGGAAAAAAAAAACTAAAATGCTTAAATAAGGATACAGGTTGGCCCATTATGACAATGAGATGTACAAAACACTATGTTGAAAATGAACTTTACAACTTCAACAGGGGTGGAGGGGTAGTTGTGGAGGTAGGAGGGAAGGGATGGTAGGGGGAAAACAAAGGAGGAAGCACCAATGTTCAATAGGAAATGTACTCATTACTTTGCTCTTGTAACTTTAACCCCTCTGTACAACATTTTTACAATAAAAAAATGTACACAAAAAAGACCATGTCATCTTTATGTTTATCTTTCCTTATTTGGATCCCCTTTATGTTTGTGTCTTTTCTTATTGCTGAGCTAGGCTTTCTAATACTAAATTGAAGAAAAGTGGAGAAAGTGGACATCCTTTTCTCGTTCCTGAGTTTAGTAGAAATGGCTTTATTTTTTCACCATTAAGTATAATGCTGGCTGTAGGTTTGTCATTCATAGCCTTTATCATATTGAGGAATGTTCCATGAAGTCCTAGTTTTTCCAGAGCCTTCATCATAAAGGGGTGTTGGATCTTGTCAAATGTCTTTTCTGCATCTATTGAGATAATCATGTGTTTCTTATCCTTTCTCTTGTTGATGTGATGAATTATATTGATTTTCATATATTGAACCAGCTTTAATTCCTGAAATGAATCCTGTTTGATTGTGGTGTATTATTTTTTTATGAGTTGTTGAAATCAATCAGCCAAAATTTTGTTTAGAAGTTGTGCATCATGTTCATCATAGAAATGGGTCTATAATTTCCTTTCTTTGATGAGTCCCTGTCTGGTTTTGGATGAGGGTTATGATGGCTTCATAGAAAGAGTTTGGTAGCAAAGTTTGAACTTTCACTTTCAATATCATTGAGAATCTAAGGAGTATTGGTGTGATTTCTGCTTTGAAGGCCTTGTAGAATTCAGCTGTACATCCATCCGGTCCTGGCTTTTCTTGTGTGGAGGTTTCTTATTGCTGTTTTTATTTTAATGCTTGATATGGGTCTATTAAGTTAGTTTAAATTATCTTGGTTTAGTTTTGGCATGTCAATATTTGCTATAAAGTCAATTCCTTCTAGATTCTCAAGCTTATTAGCATAACATTTTGAGAAATATTACCTCATAATGTTCTGAATCATGGTTGTTTCTGTGGTGATGTTTCCATTCTTATCTCTGAGTTTGTTTATTTGGGTGTGTGCTCTTCATATTCTGATAGATAGATTGCAGTGTGCTGTAGACAGCCCAGATAAAACTGACATGAAGGGGCTGATTCACTGCTCTCTATAATTTCTTGAATGAATAGCAGTCAGCCAGAGTGATATGATCTCACTATAATGTTGGCACATAATGCCAGGGGAATGTAGCTCACACCTGTAATCTAACTACTAAAGAGGTTAAAATCAGAGCATGGAGGACCCATGCAATCCTGGGAACAAAAGTCCATCAGATGCTTGTCCACAATTAATCACCAAAGGTGCTAGGAAAAGAGATATGGCTCAAGTGGTAGAGAGGTAGTGTTGAACATAAATACTCCAAAAGAAGACCCAGGCCCAGGCCCAGAGTTCAAACACTGGACTGGAGAAAAGAAGCAAACAAGAAAGGTAGTAAAGGAGGAAGGAAGGAAGGAAGGAAGGAAGGAAGAAAGAAGGGAGAGAGGGAGGGAGGGTTGAGGAAAAACAAGAACTGTAAAAAAGAGAATTCACTTGCAATTATTTTGTATTGACAATTATTTTATTTGGTACTGAAAGCAATATAGATTAATGGGTAAATCAACTCAGATGAGAAGCTTAAGTGGAGGGGGATGAGAGAAAAGAGAAATACTGAGGACATACTAATAGTAATTCTCACTCCTCACCAGACATGGCCCAATGTGTGTGATGTGCAGATCATCAGTTTGCCAATACCAAGAGAAACACTGCCTGATGAAAACTGAGAGCTATCTGACTCATGAAGACCCCTTGGGCATGGCTCTGGTCTGCATGGCTCTAGTCAGCCTAGCTCTCTGCTTCTCTGCACTCAAAGCAGCTGTTCTTGGGGTGTTTATCAAGTACCAAGACACACACATTGTCAAGGCTAATAACTGGGCCCTCAGCTACATCCTGCTCATCTCCCTCACCTGCTGCTTCCTCTACTTTGCTCTTCCTTGGCCATCCCCACACAGCCTTCTGCATCCTCTGGCACACAACATTCACAGTGTTTTCCACCGTTGCTGTCTCCATGGTCACAACCTGGTCAAGACCATCACTGTGATTCTGGCCTTCACGCTCACTCCTCCAGGGAGAAGGAAAAAGCAGTGACTGGTGTCCTGGGCTCCAACCTCATCATCCCCATCTGCACCCTCATCCAGGTGACTCTATGTGGCCTCTGGCTGGGAATCTCTCCTCCCTTTGTGGACACAGATGCACACTCTGAACATGGCCACATCATCCTGTGCAACATGGGCTCTCTCACCGCCTTCTACTCTGTTCTGGGTTACCTGGGCACCTTAGCCCTGGCCAACTTCATGGTAGCTTTCCTGGCCAGGAACCTGCCTGACACCTCCAATGAGACCAAGTTCCTGACCTTCAATGCTGGTGTTCTGCAGTGTGTGGCTCACCTTCTGTCTACCACAGTGCCAAGGGGAAGGTCATGGTAACTGTAGAGGTCTTCTCCATCCTGGCCTCCAGTGGAGGCCTCCTGGACTGCATCTTTCCCCCCAAGTGCTACATCCTCTTGATAAGAGAGAAAGGCTTTGCAGCAGAAGAGATCAAAATTTGGAAGAAATAAACCTTAAGATGAACATAAGTGTTGCCTAGATGAATTAGAGGTTCTGAGACGAATCTATACTATTTTGGCAGTCAAAACTTAATTTAAGGAACTTTTGGACAAAAAGGTACTCTTCCTCATTTCACTGGTTATGCTAGAGTCACATCAAGTTTCCACCAAGACTCTCTAAATTTGCATTTTATCCTAGATATTCTATGCTTCTTCCACTGAAATGTACCTTTCATGCTATCATTCATCCTTTAACATACATTTTCTACCCTGGTTTTTCCTTTCCATTTCGTGTCTCAATGACTCTTCCTACTTAAGCTATAACACTGCTTGAGTATCACTATATTGCAAAATCCACTAATATATGAACATTTGTCTTGGTGAAATTTCTCATGCTTCCATTGCAATAATTCAAGTACATTTTCTGCCCTAGTTCTGTGTTTCTTTTGTCATATTTACTCTTTTGCCATATTATTGTGTGTTTTGTAGAAAATCTCTTACTCTTTCTCATCTTTCCTTTAGAATTTTAGAAAGTATGTTAATATGCTCCAGTTTCCCATGGGAATCAATAAGTGTACTTTTTGGGGAAGTATTGCCAGGGCACCAACATGACTAGAGCTGTCCAATGAGGAGGTGGTGCAATAGTTTGAGTTGGTCATTATTTCTAACTGGATGCTGGAGGTACAATGTGCACAACTCTCCAAGATTAGCCATGTGGTCTTAGACCTTAAGCATCCTCAATAGTAACAGAGAAACTGAATCATCTATCATAAGAGAAAAAGATCCCCAAAGAGAAAAAAAAACAGTAGATATGCCCAGACTCAGAATCTGCCAATGTTCTTTGAGATTCTATGAGAACTGGAATGATTCAACAGTTCAGAACAGTCCTTGAAGAAATCAGAAATGTTCAAGAGCATGAAGTTGGAACATTGTCAGGCCACCACCACATTCTACAGCCATGAGGAGGGCAGAGATCTTGCCGTCATTCAATACTAAAGCTGTGACTGAATGAAGTTAGCTCACCCACATATGCATGACAGAGACATACACAGCACTGTCTCTAATTCTTCTGGGCCATTGCTGAAGGGCAGAAAAGCATCTGCACCAAGGCAGAAATGTCTGAAAGCCACACAGACTATTCCCAATTACAGTGAATCAAAGGAGACAGTGTTTATGTAATGACTACTATTGTTAGACAAGTATGTACACAATACAGGTGCATTGATGGATTTTTGCTACAAGAAAGCTTTAATGAGAACTAAACAAAACAAAATGAATGATTGTTAGACTACTGTGTCAAATGTCTGTATCAAACTGTAAATATTATGATCAGTTACCCAATAGAGAAGTAAGAACAAGAAAATGTCGTATCCAAGTCTGGCGCCAGAGGCTCACGCCTGTAATCTTAGTTACTCAGGAGGCTGAGATCTGAGGATCACAGTTCAAAGCCAGCCTGTGCAGGAAAGTCCGTGAGGCTTTTATCTCCAATAAAGCACTAGAAAGTCAGAAGTGGCACTGTGGCTCAAGCAGTAGAGCTCTTGCCTTGAGCTGAAGAGCGTAGAGACAGTGCTCAAGCCCAGAGTTCAAGCCCCACAATCAACGACAACAACAAAAAGAAAATTTCAGATCCAATTATATTTTTCCCTTTAGGAAGTCTAAACTTACCTTTTTTGTTGATTGGGGGGGCTGGGCCTGGGCCTGGGCGCTGTCCCTCAGCTATTCAAGGCTAGTGCCTTACCACTTAAGCCACAGTGCCACTTCCAGCATTTTTTCTGTTTATGTGGTGCTGAGGAATTGAACCTAGGGCCTCATGCACGTGAGGCAAACACTCTACCACTGAGCCAACTTCTCAGCCCCTAAGCTTACTATTTTATGCTAATAATAAATTGGTCATTATCCTCATATTATACATTCATCACACTCTAATAGCAGAAGATAATTGCTCCTGGATTCTTAAGGAAATAAAATGTATATTTACTTGCCAAAGGAGATAACCTACCAGAATTATCCTGATCTCTTGCCTTATGTTTACAAACAGTGATTCCAATGCAAATGTATCACTAATAGTTTATGTGTAAACACTTACAATTTACATTAAAATAGCTTATACTTAGCCAAACACCAGTGCCTCAGGCCTGGTGCTTCTCAGGAAGCTGAGATATGATGATCAGGGTTCCAAGCCAGCCTGGGGCAGGAAAAGTCCTGAGTTTTTTTTTTTTAAATACGTTTTTTATTGTAAAAATACTGTACAGAGTGGTTGCAATCACATGAGCAAGGTAATGAGTACATTCCCCACCCCACCCCACCCCGCCTAAATTGTAAAGTTCATTTTTTTGACATAGCGTTTTGTACATCTCATTGTTGCAATTGGTCCACCTGTATCCCTATTTAAACAATTTGTATGATATAATCCCACTTATCAACACTTCTTTTTGATTTTTTGTGCTTCTGGATGTGTGCTCAGAAAGGTTTTCCCTTTGGCAAGGAATCCTAATGTTTCTCCTACTACTTTCTTTATTAGTTTTACAGTTTCAGGTCTTATATTGAGGACTTGGGTTCATTTTGAATTGATGGTGGTGCAAGGTGATAGTTAAGGCCCCAATTTTAGTTTTCTGCATGTGAATATCCAGTTTCCCCAGCATGAAAACAGCTTGGTACCTGTACAAAGCAGGCCAGAGGACCCATGGAACAGAATAGAAATCCCAGATATAACCCCACAGACATGTCATCTAATATTTGATAAGGGATCCAAAAACATAGACTGGAAAAAAGGGAGTCTTGAGTTTTTTTTATCTCCAATTAACCACCAGAAGATAGAAATGTATCTGTGGTTCAAGTAGTAGAATGCTATCTTTGCACACACACACACAGACACACACACACACACACACACATGCTCAGGAACTACACCCAGACCCTGAATTCAACTCTCAGAACCAGTACATACACAGAAAAAAAACCCAGCAAAACAAAGCTCACGGTCATTTCTTTATGTGGCAATGGTGTATTTATGTTGAAGTAAAGAAAGATAAAGTATATGAATGAAAAGAACAACACAGAATCCAGAAGTCATATCTGGGTAAAAACAATATTCTCTGAATAATGCCATCAATCATTTTTTGTTTTGTTTTGTTGGTCATGGGGTCTGAACTCTGGGCCTAGGTGCTGTCCCCCAGCTCTTCAGCTCAAGGCTAGCACTCTACGCTTGAGCCACAGTGCCACTTCAAGATTTTTCTGTTTATATAGTGCTGAGGAGTCCAACCCAGCGCTCATGCATGTAAGGCAAGCACTCTACCACTGAGTCACCTTCTCAACCCCTATCAATTCTGTTTTAAAGGCTGAGGTTCCAACCTAAAATATGATTACAACAATCTCTTTGCAGTCCAAAGGAAAGAGTTTATTGTAGTTTGAGGAAGATAGGAAATAGAACCAGTATAGGAAAAAAGAAAAAAAAAACTTTTGCTTACCCATTCTGATAACCAACCACCAATAAGAGCTTATAAAACTTGGTGAACTGTGATGTTCACACATGTGAAAGATTTTTTACAGTGCTATCCTACCATGTGGCTTCCCAAAACTATTGTGTGAGTCTTTATGATTAAGAGATGATATTCCAAGAGTCCTTCACACATCCATATATCAGTATTTACTGGGTTAAGCTGCTTCTGATTTAGCCATGACCAAAGGGTAAAGAACCAAAGATCTTTTCGAGCCTGATGCCCACTGAAATCTCAGCATCTGTCCTTGGGACTGACAGACCAGGAGCTGGCCAGTGCCAGACTCTGTCCCTGAGGGTACAAGCATGGAATCCACACCTGTCCTGGAGACACTGGAGTGAAGGAGGGAAAGGATGAGCTTATCATTGACTTCTATATGACCTTGGGAAAATCAATGCCCAGAACTCACAGTTAGCCAACTTGGTCATCTTATTGGAACATGTCTGTAAAGAGTCCCAAACATTAATAGAAGAAGAAGAGAAGAAACAAGAACACCCACAATATTTGGTAGGAGGGCTCTTTAAGCTATTTTGAACAAAGATAGTGTGTCATTTCTCCCACTGCTTTATTTTTCTGCTTATTTTTATTTTTTAATTTAATTTTATTTTATTTGTGAACATACTGTACAGAGGGGTTACAATTACATGAGCAGGATAATGCATACATTTCTTACCAAGCATTGCAGCCTCCTCTTTTGTTTACCCTTCACATCCCTTCCCAGCCTCCCCCCTCCCCCCCCCCAACCGCACCGACGTTGTAAAGCTCATTTTCGACATGACAACTTGTACTTCTCATTGTTGCAACAGGTCCACCTGTATCCTTAAACGACTTGTTTTTCCCCATCTCCTCCACAAGTTATACTGACATCAAATATAGTGAAAGCAGGGTTTATACTGTGGGGGAGGGACATACAAAGCAACAAAGAAATAATCTTAAAAATGCATTAGAAACACATGCATGAAAGAAAAAAACATTAAAATACATATCTAAGGGTTCATTTTCCTAACATCACACTATCTGACCTTTTCCGCTTGACTCATACATATACTAGATATTGCAAATAAGGGAAACCATGGGACCTATGTTCCTTTGGGCCTGGCTTACTTCACTTAATATAATTTTTTTCAAGTTTTTCCATTTCCTAACAAATGGGGCCATGTCATTCTTTCTGATGGAGGCATAGAACTCCATTGTGTATATATACCACATTTTCTTGATCCATTCATCTACTGAGGGGCATCTGGGTCTGCTTATTTTTAATATCCAGTAGTATTCTATCACTATTTTTATAGGTCTAATTTCCACACTGTAAATGTGTTACTATTTTAAACATACTGACTAAAATCTTGAGTAACATTTATTTAACTTTTCACATTTTGTGAAAATCTCAATATTATATGCATCATTTTTTTTCAGTTACATGCCAGTGTCTCCCTTAGAAGGCTGAACTCTGAGGATCAGAGTGCAAAACCAGCATGGGCAGAAAAGTCCAGGAGACCCCATCACTAGAAAAAATGTTAGGGTATAAGCATTTCTCAAATGGTAAAGTGCCAGCAGTGAAAAAAGAGGACAAGTGTAAGAGAGCATGAAGCCCAGAGGTTTAAGGCCTGATACACACACACACACACACACACACACACACACTTTTCTAAAGCATAGAATTCCATTGAGTATATATACCACATCTCGATCCATTCATCTAGTGTGGGGCATTTGGGTTGGCTCTATATCTTAGCTATGGTAAATAATGCTGTAATAAACATGGTTGTACTGGGAGCTTTAGTATGGCCTTGTTTGTGGTTATTTGGGTAAGTGCCCAGAAGTGGAATGAATGGGCTGTGCTTTATCCAAACAATATCATTTTGGTGGTCCTAGGTGTTGAACCCAGAATGCTGTGCTTGCAAGGCATGGACAGTATTTCTATATCTCTCCCCAGGTGCTCCAATAATTGTCACTGAGCCTTTTCTGACCACGGACTACTCTGACCCTTTAACTTTCACCTGGCATCCTCTGCTACCATCCATATGCATCATCCCTAGTGGCTTTCAGGTGAGCATATGTTTTTTTGCCACTTCTTTTCTTTTCAACTTTTTTTTTCCAAACAACTTTACAGGAAAGGAGTCCATCCCTGGAGTTCGAACATCTAGAGTCCTGGATGAAATCACAGCCCTGAGGGTGTGGAGAGGAAAATGCTGCACATGTTTTCCAACTTTTGTTTTTGACCTTGAAGCCGGACCCCAGATGCAGGGCCGGAGGGCAGAACGACTCTGTATTCCTTCAGGACAGAGGAGGAGGCCTGTGGTGCATTGCAGTGGCCATGCAGGTAATAAGAAGCCACAGAATCTGAAGATCCATTTAGACACCTGCCTGATGCTGCAGGCTCAGTCTACAGCCAGAATCGCAGATCTGTGCAGTCTGCAGGAATGTTCCCTGTGGCTCTGACACTGCTTCTCCTCCAGCTTCCGCTTGTGGTCAGTTCCTCTGAAGATGCCAGATGCATTTACACAGAGAAATCTGTGGCACACAGCAAGGGAGATGCGGTGATTGCTGGGTTTTTCCCCCTTTATTCTTGGGAATTCATTCGCAACATGAATGACCCTGGTATGCGGCAACAGGGCCATCGGTAAGTGATTTCATGCCCTTTTGCATTTTCTGTTGATTCATTAAAAAGGAGGAGAGGAGGTTGGATCCATTGATTGTTCTCTAGATCTTGTGCACCGCCCTACTACCTGACAAATGTTAATTCTTGGGGGGAGAAATGCATCTCTCCAGAAGAAATGCATCCTGTTGTCTCTCTTTGAAAGAAAGATCATGCTTCTGTGTTTCAATGTACCATGTTTCTGAATTGCGTTCACCAGACCTCATTTTCCCCAATTACCCTGCCTCATTTTCCCCTAAATGACTTTGGTTCCTTCATCTTTAGGGAGGTAGATGAATAAATATTCCCTGTATTTTCTGTAAGCTTGCTGTACCTCATTTTCCCCTAATCTGTCTTGTTTCATTTTTCCCCTAAATGACTCTCTTCTCTTAATCTTAAGGAAAGTAGATAGACTATGTTTAAACTTGAGTTTTTGCATTTCTGGCAGTCATTAACCTAGACTATCTTTCCTCATTTTTCCCTTAAATGACTTTGTTCCCTTAATCTTCAGGAAAGGATCTGGATGAATATCTCTTGTATTAGTTTAAACTTGGCTTTTATAATTAGTAGCAGTATTTTTCTTTACCATGTCTCACATTCCCTAGTTTATCCTGCCTCATTTTCCCGTAAATGACTTTGGTCCCTTAATTTTAAGGGATGTTGATTGGTGAAGATCCATCTCCTGTCACTGTATCAAGTTGAGCAGTAGCACCCATACTGCCTAGCCAAGGATTAGAAGACCTGTCCTGTCTTTTCAAGGGGTAACATGGGAAGTTCACTTGTTTGATTGATCAGACATCTTTACAAGCATTCTTTGACTCAGAACTGGAAAGGAAGTGAAGAAATTAAGGAAGATAATAAGCCAAAGAAATAATACAAGGTGCAGCAGATTAATATTTATCCAAATGTTAATGCCATAAAGATAAACAATTGTTCTCTTCAAGTGTTTCCAGAGAACCATGAGGTAAGGAGGTTGTTCAAGCTAAGTGCAGAGTGACACTTAGTATCAATTTGAATGTGTAAATCTGGAAGGTCTGAGGAGATATTTGAGTTGTCTGGAATATACACATGACATTTAACCTTTAGCATTATGCAGGTTCCTCCTTGGGCTGTGGTAAGGATGTCTAAAACCATCCAATTTTAAAGGATGGCGTGTCTTGTCCCATTGCCTATAATTATATTTTTGCTCTTTCCAGAAGACAGTAGTCATTGGGTTCAATTGCCCAAGAGTGGAGGTCAGCCATCAATAACTTCCCTTATATGGTGCTAGGCCCACTGTAAAAATTAGTTTGTTTCCAAGTTAACCCAGAGAATAATCACTAGAAAAGGTAAAGATGGCTTCTTATACATCCTAAGAATAAGGTAGGAGCTCTAACAATTATTATGACACTGAAGACTTTTTTTATAATTGAGTAAACAAAAGTTAAAATTTGAAACTGGCAGCCATTCTCCTTGCCTCATTTTCTGTAGTCTACCCTTCCTCAGTACAACATCTTCAGTCCATTGCCATCAAGACCAGCATCGCTGGATCAGGACCAAAACCCACCCAGGTTGTACATGATGGAGGTAGGCCCAAGGCCAAAGGTGCCACAGCCAGCCACAATTAGTGATAGCTGGAACCAAAGTCTGATTGGTGGTAGATGTCTTTCCAAAGTACTGGGTGATCACAGAGCTCTTCTAGAGGAACTCCTAGATATAGGGTCACTGCAAGCTTCCAGTGCTATCACCTGGCCCACAATAAACATTTAAGCCAAAATTGCCATTTTATTCCTGGCCCTAGTCACAGTGAGTGGGATGGAGAACTCTGCTGTGTCACAGCATCTTGGTGATGTGAATAAAGAAGCCACAGAGCCATCTTGGTGGGCACCACCCTGCATCAAGGCTCAGTCTCCCATCCAGAGAGCCCAAACTGCCAGGGGATTGCACTGAGGCTAACACACCAGCTTGTAGTGCTATAGGTCAATGCAAAATTGTGTCCTAAAGCTTCACAGGACTCTGCCTGCTGCCATCTTGAGCACTGTTCTTCGGTGAGCAGAGGTCCGAGTTTAGGGGTGAGCTCTGAGAATGGAGCTGAGCCAGATCACAATGGAGTCACATAGCAACAGAGAACTCACAAGTGTGGGGAGCAAGGCAGGTGTTACCATGCTCCATTCATGGTGGACATCATCATGGGTGGCACTTGGTTCTGCTGCAGGGACCTTCATATATCTCCTGATAGAATCTAATGGGACCTTTGGTCCAGGTAGCAAATTGGGACTCTAGGTTTTTCTGGATTATGTGTGCAGCCATAGCATGCCTGAAACAGGGTTCTAAGAGAACACATTGACCCTACCTTGTTCTCTGTTTGCCAACAACTTGTATCCAATGCTTGCTGCCCTTCACAAGATTGGGGGAGGGAGGGTATGGCAGTGACTTCCTTCTCTGTCCTAACATTCCAGAGGCACAATCTAAAGGACTAGATCTACAGTTGAGACTATAAGGCATGACCACAGCACTGTGCTCAGTACATGGGCATGGTGCATTTAACTTGAATTATCTCCTTCCCTGCAATGTTTCAGGGTTCTCTGTCCACTCTGAGCTACTAGTGCTGGTGGAGGGGAGGAACTTGGAGATGTCTTACTTACACCTTTGCCCACAAATGCTTTTCTGTTGTTTCCAATAGAGGAGGTCTCTCTGGTCCACATCTCCTGAATTTATCATCTGTTCTTTGGTCGGTGCAGCATGTTCAGTCTTCTTCGACTGCCAACTTTCTCTGCTTCTGGATGATTACTTTGAATGACAATGTTCTCTAAGTCAGCTTAGACTGCCGGTGACTACTTGACCAGAATTGTAGTGTTTTATTTTATTAAGAAAATTTTAGCCTGTTCCAAGGAGACATAGATTTCCTCCTATTCCTTCCTGTAATGTTTTCAGGGTTTCTGCTTTGACTTCAAGGTCTTTGATCCATTTGGAGTTGATCCTGGTACACGGTGATATGTAAGGATCTAGTTTTAGTTTTCTACAGGTGATAAACCAATTTTGCCAGCACCACTTACTGAAGAGACTGTCTTTCTTCCATTCTAATTTTTTAGCTCCCTTAGCAAAGATTAGGTGGCTATAGGTCTGTGGGTTCATTTCTGGGTCTTCAGTTCTATTCCATTGGTCCTCAGGTCTGTTCTTCTGCCAGTTCCATGCTGTTTTAATTATTATAGCTTTGTAGTAGAGTTTGAAATTTGGCATTGGCATTCCTCAAGCCCTGTTTTTTTTCTGCTAAGGACTGTTTTTGCTTTTTGGGGTGTTTTATTGTTTCATATAAATTTTTGGGTTGCTTTTTCTATTTCTTTGATGAGTGAGGTTAGAATATTGATAGTTAACGCATTGAATTTGTAGATAGCCTTTGGAATTATTGGCATTTTCACGATGTTAATCCTCCCAATCAAGGAGCGAGGGAGGTTTTTCCACTTCCTAAGTTTTGCATTAATTTCCTTTTTCAGGTTTTTAAAGTTTTCATCGTAGAGGTCCTTCACTTCTTTAGTTAATTCTGAGGTATTTTATTTTTTGTGTGGCTATTACAAAAGTAGTTGCTTTCCTGATTTCAGCCATGCTCTTCTCATTGTTGGCATACAGAAAAGCTATTGATTTTTTTTTTACCTTCAATTTCATTGAAGAGTCGGAGGAGTATTGGTGTGAGTTCTGCTTTGAAGACATTATAGGATTCAGCTGTAAATCCACCTGGTCCTGGGCTTTTCTTGGGTGGGAGTTCTCATTGCTGTTTCTATTTCAGTGCTTGATATGGGTATGGAAGATGTTTAAATCATCTTGGTTTAGTGTCAGCTTATCGATATTTATTAGAAAGTCATCCATTTCTCAGAAGGGAACCTTACTGCATTGTTGATAGGAGTATAAACTTGTTCAACCACGTTGGAAAGTAGTATGGAGGTTCCTCAAAAGACTCCACATAGAGCTCCCCTATGACCCAGCAATTCCACATTGGGGCATTTACCCAAATGATCACAAACAAGACCATACTAAAGCTACCAGCACAACTATGTATATTGCAGCATTATTACCATAGCTAAGATATGGAACCAACCCAGATGCCCCTCAGTAGATGAATGGATCAAGAAAATGTGGTATATATACACAATGGAATTCTGTGCCACCATCAGAAAGAATGACATTGCCCCATTTGTTAGGAAATGGGAAGACTTGGAAAAAATTATATTAAGTGAAGTAAGCCAGGCCCAAAGAAACATAGGTCCCATTGTTTCCCTTATTTGCAATAACTAGTATATGTCTGAGACAAGCAGAAAAAGTCAGATAAGTTGATGTTAGGTGAAATGAACCCCAATATAAGGATTCAAAAGCTTTTTCTTTCATGTGATTGTTTCTAACATATTCACAAGATGATTTCTTTGTTGCTTTGTATGTCCCTCCCCCATAGTATTACCTCTGCTTTCACTGTATTTGATGTCAGTATAATTTGTAGAGAGGAGGGGAAAAAACAAATTTTTTAAATAGGGATACAGGTGGATCCATTGCAACAATGAGATGTACAAGTTGTTATGTCAAAAAACGAACTTTATAACTTTGGCCCAGGGCAGGGGGTGGAAATGGGAAGGGATGGGAAGGGGAAACAAATTAAGAGGCAACAATGCTTGATAAGAAATGTACTCATTACCTTGTCATGTAATTGTAACCCCTCTGTACAGTATTTTCACAATAAAAAAAGAGAAAATCATCCATTTCTACCAGATTCTGAAACTTATTAGCATAAAGTTTTGAGAAGCATTCCCTTGCAATGTTCAGAATGTTGGTTGTTTCTGTAGTGATGTTTGCATTCTCATCCTTGAGTTTATTTGGGTGTGTTCTTTTCTTTTTCTGATAAGATTTGCTAAGGGTCTGTCAATTTTGTTAATTTTTTCAAAGAACCAACTCTGTTTTTTAAGCTTTCTATGGTATTTTGGGATTCTAATTCATTTAATTCTGATTTGATTTTAGTTATTTGTTTCCATCTACTGGGTTTATCTTGCTGCTTTTTTTCAAGGAGCTTTAGGTGCCTTGTTAAATTGTTGCTTTCAGATTTCTCCAATTTGTTGATGTAGAACCATGAGCTATCACCTTGCATCTGAGTACTGCCTTTGCTGTGTCCCCGAGAAGCTGGTAATTTGTGTGTTCATTTGTGTTGAGAATTTCCTTTCTAATCTCTTCCATGACCCACTGGTGGTTCAACTTAAATTGTGTTTCTTAAGAATTGTTTCATTTGGGGCGGGGAAAGTGGCTCAGTGGTAGAGCGCTTGCCTTGCATGCTCGAGGCCCTGGGTTCGATTCCTTAGCACCACATAAGCAAAAAAGAAAAAAAGCCAGAAGTGGCGCTGTGGCTCAAGTGGTAGAGCACTAGCCTTGAGTTGAAGAGCTGAGGGACAGCATCCAGGCCCAGAGTTCAGGCCCCAAGCCTGGACCAAAAAAAAAAAAAAAAAAAGAATTGTTTCATCTACAGACCTACCTCAAGGTCCTCAATGAGTTGGTGTGTGAGCTGGACAAGCTCCTGTGTCTCAGTTATCAATGCTTTTCACATATCCACAAATGTCAGAGAGAAAAGCCAGCTCTCTCACTTTCTGCAATCTCAGAAGAATAGCATTCTGGTGTATGCTGATCAAATCCTGTTTCAGGAGCTCTCCTACTTCTAATTACATTCCTAAGACTCCAAATTCTAATTCCACCCTCTTTGCGGATAGAGTCTAAACAATTAATTTATAGAGAGACAAGCATTCAATTCAAAGGTCTTGAGATTTCAACTTAAACAAATTTGTAGTACTCGTTTACTACCTAAACTTCTGTGATATCTGTGCAGGCTCAACTTAAAGAAATACCAGTTGGTTCTGTCCCTGACCCTCGCAGTTGAGGAAATCAACAAGAATCCCCATCTGCTACCCAACATGACCCTGGGGTTTGAGATCTATATTTCACATTATGTAGAAGCTGATCTGTTAGAGAATCCACTGACCTTACTGTCTGGGAAGAATAAAAACAGCCCTAATTATACCTGCAGGAGATATAGCAAAGCTGTAGCAGTACTCACAGGAACCTCAAGCACATCTGCCCCAATTGGAACACTGCTAAACCTCTATAAACTTCCACAAGTGAGTCTGGGAGGGACGGTGAGATGAGAAGGCATGTTCCCCTTGTCGCTGTCTTGGACATGCTGAATACGGGGAAAGGAAGAGGTGATATTATGAACCTCTATTATTGAATGACCTCAAAGGAAAAGACCCCCAAAATTGGGTGGTGTGTCCATATTATCTTTGTTGCAAGAGATAAAAGGAGAGTTTATAAGAGAGCAAAGAATGAACCCAGGTTCTGAACCTTATCCATACATTTCTATAAAGATCTTGGAAAGTGTAAGAAGACAACTTTACGTTTGGGAAAAGCAAACCTTCCCAATCAACACTGCCAGTTGTTGTTTAGTTCACATCAGGACTGAAACTTTGATTTTGACCATTCTCTTCCTGTTACTTTTCCCCTTTTTAGTTCACCTTTGGATCTTTTGATCCTTTCCTGAGTGACCATGGACAGTTCAGTGCTGTCTATCAGATGTCTGCCAAAGACTCAGCTCTAGCCCTAGCCATGGTCTCCTTGATGCTTCATTTCAGCTGGACCTGGGTGGGACTGTTCATCACCGAAGATGACTATGGTGTGTGGTTCCTCTCAGAACTGAGAAAAGAGATGGACAAGAATGGAATCTGTTTTGCCTTTGCAAACACAATCACATACAATGCCATACCAAATTTTGCAAATGATGCATTGATATATAGCCAGATTATGGAATCATCAACCAATGTGACTATCATTTATGGGGACAGTGAATTTCTACTAAGCTTTATTCTTAAATTAGGGGACTTTTTAATTACAGGGAAAGTCTGGGTCATGAACTCACCCTATGATGATGTGACCCTCAGCAAAAGATATTTCCTGCTAGACACCTTCCACGCACCCCTCACCTTCTCTCACCACCACGGGAACATTTCTGGGTTCACCAGTTTGATCCCATTAGCTGAATATTCCAAGAACTCAGAAGATATTTCCCATCCTAGCTTATGGATTCAGGCTGTTCAATGTATACTGATTAAGTCTGACTGTACAAAATTGGGGCACTGTTTCTATAATACCACACTGGATTGGTTGCGGGGGCACATTTTTGACACAGCTGTGCCAGAAGAGAGTTACAACATCTACAATGCTGTGTATGCCGTGAGCCAAGCCCTCCATGAAATGCTTCTTCATCACACGGAAGAGCCACCAGCACACAATGAGCAACCAAGGATATTTCTCTCTTCACAGGTAAAGACTTATCTTTTAAGTGCTCCAGGCACAGTGTCTTTCTAGACCCTTTCATAACAGATGGAATTAGGTAGTCTGTTTCTTTTGTTGAAAGTACAAGGTGCACTGGGCCCATCATGCTCTCCATGAAGTAACCATGCAGCTGTTTGACAACATTCTTGAATAACACTGCATCCTTGAGAAGGAAGTGTTGTGTCTTCTGTTCCCATTCTCACTTTGTGTTTTATAAGCCCTCACCCTTTTAATAGTACAAATCTAAATTCTCCTTGTAACTGATTAATACAGCAGGTCAAGATTGACTAGTGCTTGAAAACCTTAAGATTTTCTTGGCATGAAAGTTTCACACTTGTGGATCACTCCAGGTTACTTAGGAGGCTGGGATCTGAAGATTTCAGTTTAAAGCCAACTACTTGGTTTTTGTTTACCTATTTTTCAGACTGACTCTCTGATCACATTCATAAAATAAGTGATTGTGGTTTTCTGGAGAGAGGCAGTGGAGGTCTGTCTTATTATAAATATTTAGGTGGATGTGACTGGAGTTTTAATCTTTTAAATTTGGGTCTCTGCATCCTATCCTGGGTAACCAGATTTTAGAAACTTGGTAACACTTCAGTCCTCTACAGGCCTGAATTTGCTCCATTGTTTGGATTCTTGTGCTGTATGTGAATTATATGTGTGTGGGGATGAAATGTAATAAGCACTGTCCATTATATTGGGTTACTGTAGTCACTGGGAAGCACTTCAACCTAGGTTAATATATGTCTTTTAGCTTCATCCCTTTTTGAAGAAGATCCAATTTATCAATGCAGTTGGAGAACAAGTGGTTTTGGATGAGGAAAGGAAATTGGAGGCAGAGTATGACATTGTGAATTTATGGAATTTTCCAGATGGTCTGGGACAAAGGGTAAAAGTTGGCAAGTTTTCTCCATCTGGGCCACATGGTCAACAACTGAGTTTGTTTGAAAATCTGATAGAGTGGCCCATAGGAATTACCAAGGTGGGTCATTTCTACATTTTTCACTCTCTCTTTTTTTAAAAAGAGAAATATTGTTATAATGACTAGTTGTAGAAAGAGATTACAATTTCCTAAGTCAGGTTATGCATACAACATTTGTTGACAATGTCATCACATCCTTATTTCTCCCACAGAATTGTTTGTAACCATAATGTCATGATCTATGTATAAGTAAGCAATAAACTTTTCCTATTTTTAAGCTATTCACCTAAACTATGGCTCCTGGGTATACATGTCACAACTTTCTGGTTCTGGAAGTTGCTTACAAACTGACTCAGGGATGGGCTAGGAGCACATTTAATTACCAATATGTTATTAAATGATTGCATATTCACTATCATAAAAGAGAAATGACATCTGTTAATCAGTATTCCAATTTTGTGGCAAAACACTGAGAAAACTTAATTAGAGAACAGAAAGGTGCTTTGCTCCTGCCTGAAGATTGCAGACCATGGACAGGTAGACTGCTGCTTTTGAGTCAAGTGAAACTGAATGTAAGGGAGATTGCATCTTCCAGTGGGTACCCACCTAATGGCAACTGGGAATACAGAAGAAGATAGGAATAATCCTTGGTACCACCACAGCCCCTTCGAAAGGATCAGCCATGCTTTAGACAATGGTTTTGAAGTTTTACTGAGTGATTTTCCTCTTCTGCTCTCCACATGTTCACAGAGGACTAAGAGAGAAGACACATCATGACCTGAACTCAAGAATGTGATACAGGATTTGTTTACTCTTTCTTAATTTCTTATGTATTAGCTCCACCTCTTCAAGGAACAATCACATCACTATATCACCAAGGGCTGGGGTTCAAGACCTGACATATTCTTAGAGTCATCTTATATGAATATAGAAGACAATTCAATTGATTTCTTAGCTATACACAAACAGAGATTATGCCTCTTAATATTTTTTTTCTAAAGCACTGCAGTTTCTAGGATATCTTGTTACAGGGAGAATAGTCACTAACACTCATCTGAATTTTCTCAGACTCCTCAGTCTGTCTGCAGTAAGTGCTGTGGTCCTGGATTCAGGAAGGCCCCTCAGGAAGGAAAAGCTCCATGTTGCTTTGACTGTACCCTTTGCCCAGTGAATGAGATTTCTAATAGGACAGGTGAGTCTGTGACTTACAGAGAAATTTCCTATCTCTCTCTCCTTACCTACAATTCATACATGTCAATGAAGTGCCCTACAGTAGTGTGGCAAGAACAGACATGTGCCTTCACCTAGAGTTCCATAGCTATCATTGACCATAGTTCTGCTTGGAATAACTCAGTCCACTGGTCTGCCATTATATATCCGATTTCATTTTCTAGTCTATTACAGGCTTTGATTATAAAATACCCCTCTCCTCACTCACCTTATCTTGGATTTAAACACAAGATCAAGTACCAAACCTTGATTTTCAAAAAGATGTGGAAGCTGGGAGCTGATGTCTCATGCCTGAAATCCTAGCTACTCAGGAAGCTGAGATCTGAGGATCATGTTTCAAAGCCAGCCAGGGCAGAAAACAGGAAGTGGTGCTGTGGCTCAAGAGGTAGAGCACTTTTCTTGAACTGCATTGCTCAGGGACGTCATCCAGGTCCACAGTTCAAACCCCATGACTGACCAAAAAAATAAAAAATGATGTGGATATCATAATGGAATTATGGGTCTAACACAGCCTTTCCTTTCTGAGGGCCCAGCTCTGCCCTTCCTTTTAAATTAATTTTATTTTTCACTTAGCATACCTAAATGATACCAGGCGGGTTGCTATGATTACTCCATACCTAACACTGGCACTAATTTGACTAGCAACAACTCAAATATACTTCACTCAGAACTAGTTACCATCTACATTTGATTTCTCTTCTACCTCCTCCGGCTCATCCTCCCCAAACCCCCCATTATCCCAGAATGGTATTGTTCTTGACAGGGAGCAAGTGCTCAGGAAGCTTGTGTTTTGTGTAAGCAATGGTTATGGTGTGATGTAGACAGTCCTGTTAAAACTGACATGAATGGGCTGATTCTTTGCTCTCCATTATTTATTGAATAAGTAGCAGACAAACCAGCGTGATATGACCACCCTATAATGTAGGCACATAATGCTAGGGAAATGTAGTTCACACCAGTAATCCTACCTACTAAAGAGGATAAAATCTGAGAATGGAGGACAGATGCAATCCTGGGAATGAAGTCCATAAGATGCTTGTCCACAACTAATGATTAAAAGTGCTAGAAGAAGAGATGTGGCTCAAGTGGTAGACAGGTAGTGTTGAACACAAATACTCCAAAAAGGGCCCAGGTCCAGAGTTCAAACACTGGACTGGAGAAAAAAAGCAAGCAAGCATGCAAGCAAACAAGAAATCAAGCAAGCAAGATAGGAAGGAGGGAAGGAAGGTAGGAGGGAGGGAGAGAGGGAAGGAGAGAGGGAAAGGAGAGGAGGGAAGGAGGGAGGGAAAGGAAGGAAGGAAGGAAGCAAGCAAACAAGCAAGCAAGCAAGAAAAGATAAAAGCAAGAAGAAAGAAAGGAAGAAGGGAGAGAGGGAGTGACGGATGGGAAGAAGAAGATATAAGAAACTAAGAGAGCTCACCTGCAATTATTTTGTATTGAGAATTATTATATTTGGTACAGAAAGCAATACAGATTAACAGGTAAATCAGGTCAGATGAGCTGCTTGAGTGGAGGGGGATGAGAGGAAAGAGAAATACTGAAGAGACATACTGAAGATTAATCATGTTTCTCACATCTCACCAGACATGGAACAGTGTGTGAGGTGTCCAGATCACCAGTTTGCCAACACCCAGAGAAACCACTGCCTGATGAAAACTGAGAGCTTCCTGACTCATGAAGACCCCCTGGGCATGGCTCTGGCCTGCACTTCTCTCTGCTGCTCTGTACTCACAGCTGTTGTTCTTGGGGTGTTTATCAAGCACCAAGACACCCCCATTGTCAAAGCCAATAACCGGGCCCTCAGCTACATCCTGCTCATCTCCCTCACCTGCTGCTTCCTCTGCTCCTTGCTCTTCCTTGGCCGTCCGAACACAGCCACCTGCATCCTCCAGCACACAACATTTGCAGTGGTCTTCACCATGGCTGTCTCCACGATCCTGGCCAAGACCATCACTGTGGTTCTGGCCTTCACGCTCACTGCTCCAGGGAGAAGCACGATGATGTGGCTGGTGTCCCGGGCTCCTAACCTTATAATCCCCATCTGCACCCTCATCCAGGTTACTCTCTGTGGCCTGTGGCTGGGAATCTCACCTCCCTTTGTAGACACAGATGCACACTCTAAACATGGCCACATCATCATCCTCTGTAACATGGGCTCTCTCACTGCCTTCTACTGTGTCCAGGGATACCTGGGTGCCCTGGCCCTGGCCAGCTTCACTGTGGCTTTCCTGGCCAGGAACCTGCCTGACACCTTCAATGAAGCCAAGTTCCTGACCTTCAGCATGCTGGTGTTCTGCAGTGTGTGGCTCACCTTCCTGCCTGTCTACCACAGTGCCAAGGGGAAGGTCATGGTGGCTGTGGAGGTCTTCTCCATCTTGGCCTCCAGTGCAGGGCTCCTTGGCTGCATCTTTGTCCCCAAGTGCTACATCATCTTGATAAGACCTGAGAGAAATTTTTTACAGAAAAGATCACAATCTGCAAGAAATAAACCTTAAGATGAACTTAAGTGTTGCCTAGATGAATTAGAAGTTCTGAGAGCAGTCTATACTATTTTGGAAGTCAAAACTTAATTTGAGGAAATTTTGGACAAAAAAGTTACTCTTCCTCATTCCACTGGTTATGTTAGAGTCACATCAAGTTTCCAATAAGACGTTCTAAATTTGCATTTTATCCTAGATATTCTTTTTTTAAATAAGTTTTTAATGTAAAAATATTGTACAGAGGGGTTGCAGTCACATAAGGAAAGTAATGAGTACATTTCTTATCAAGCATTTTTGCTTCCTCCTTTGTTTTCCCCTACCATCCCTTCTCTCCCATCTCCAAAACTACATCCTCCCCCTCCCTGTGCCTAAATTGTAAAGTTCGTTTTTTGACATAGCGTCTTGTACATCTCCTTGTTGCAATGGGTCAACCTGAATCCCTATTCAAACAATTTTTTTTTTACCTTCCATTCCACAAATTATACCAACATCAATTATAGGGAAAACAGGGGTTATTCCATGGGGAAGATACATACAAAACAACAACAAAATATCACATGGTACATTAGAAAAAATAGCAAGCAAGAAAAAAAAACTCTGTCCTTATATTGGGGATCATTTCTATTAACATCATTTTATCTGACTTTTCTGCTTGTCTCAGATATGTACTGGTTATTGCAAATAAGGGAAACCTTGGACCTATGTTTCTTTGGGCCTGGCTTCATATAATTTTTTTCAAAGTATTTCCATTTCCTAACAACTGGAGCAATGACATTCTTTCTGATGGAGGCACAGAATTCCATTGTGTATATATACCACATTTTCGTGATCCACTCATCTACTAGGGGGCATCTGGGTTGGTTGCATACCTTAGCTATGGTAAATAAAACTGCAATAAACATAGTTGTGTTGGTAGCTTTAGTATGGTCTTGTTAGTGATCATTTGGGTAAATGCCCAAAAGTGAGATTGCTGGGTCATAGGGGAGCTCTATCTGGAGTCTTTTTTTTTTTTTTGGTTGTGGGGCCTGAACTCTGTGCCTGGGCACTGTCCCTCAACTCTTCAGTTCAAGACTAATGCTCTACCACTTGACCCACAGCTCCACTTCCGTGGTGCTGAGGAATTGATCTCAGGGCCTCATGCATGCAAGGTAAGTATTCTACCACTGAGCCACTTTCCCAGCCTTGGAGTCTTATATATATATATATATATATATATATATATATATATATATATATATATATATATATATGTATGTATATATATATATATATATATATATATATTGTGTGTGTGTGTGAAAATATCATACAGAGGGGTTAAAATTACATGGGAAAGGTAATTTCTTATCAAGCATTGTTGCCTCCTCCTTTGTTCCCCTTCCCATCCCTTCCCATTTTCCCACCCTCACAGCCTCTCCACTCCTATTACCCCCATTCCCCCCTCCCCAGGCAAAGTTGTAGAGTTCGTTTTTCAACATTATGTTTCATACATCTCATTGTTGCAATGGATCCACCTGTATCATTATTTGAACGATTGGTTTTTCTCCCTTCCCCTCCACAAATTATACCAACATCAAATATAGTGAAAGCAGGGGTTATACCGTGGGAGAGGGACATACAAAGCAACAAAGAAATCATCTTTTTCTTTTTTATATAAATATGTTAGAAACAATCACAAAAAAAGAAAAAAAACATTCCAATCCTTCTCTTAGGGTTCATTACACCTAACATCAACTTATCTGACCTTTTCTGCTTGTCTCAGACATACACTAGTTATTGCAAATAAGGGAAACCATGGGACCTATGCTTCTTTGGGCCTAGCTTACTTCACTTCATATAATTTTTGTCCAAGTCTTCCCATTTCCTAACAAATGGGGCAATGTCATTCTTTCTGATGGAGGCACAGAATTCCATTGTGTATATATACCACATTTTCTTGATCCATTCATCTACTGAGGGGCATTTGGGTTGGTTCCATATCTTAGCTATGGTAAATAATGCTGCAATAAACATAGTTGTGCTGGTAGCTTTAGTATGGTCTTGTTTGTGATCATTTGGGTAAATGCCCAAAAGTGGGATTGCTGGGTCATAGGGGAGCTCTATGTGGAGTCTTTTGAGGAACCTCCATACTACTTTCAACATGGTTGAACATGTTTACACTCCCACCAACAATGCAGTAAGGTTCCCTTCTGTCCACATCCCCTCCAGCATCTGTTGTTATTAGAGTTATTGATTATAGCCATTCTAACTGGGGTGAGGTGGTATCTCAATGTTGTTTTGATCTGCATTTCTTTAATGGCTTGAGAGGTTGAGCATTTTTCATGTGTATATTGGACATCCTTCTTTCCTCTTCAGAGAAATTTCTCTATAAGCCTTTAGCCCACTTATTTATTGGACAGTTGTTTCTTTAAGGATTTCTTATTGGGGAATTTAATTTTTTGAGTTACAGGTATATATGAGACCCTTGTCGGTTGTATGGCTAGTGAAGATCTTCTCCCATTCGTTAGGCTTTCTATGGATCTTGCTAGCTATGTCCTTTTCCATGCAGAAGCTCTGAAATTTCATGCAATCACATTTGCTCAAACTTTCTTTGATTTCTGGATCTCTATTAAGAAAATTTCGGCCTGTGCCAACAAGACCTAGGGTTTCTCCTATTCCATCCTGTAACGTTCTCAGTGTATCTGCTTTCACTCCAAGTTCTTTGATCCATTTGGAGTTGATTCTCGTACAGGGTGATATATAAGGATGTAGCTTTAGTTTTCTACAAGTAGTTAACCACTTTTGCCAGCACCATTTACTGAAGAGGCTTTCTCCCATTCTATTTTTTGAAGATTAGATGGTTATAGGTCTTCTGTAGGTTCATTTCTGGGTTTTCAATTCTACTCCATTGGTCCTGAGGTCTGTTTTTGTGCCAGTACCTTGTAGTAGAGTTGGAAATTTTGTATTGTTATTCCTCCAGCACTGTTCTTTCTGGTAAGGATCATTTTTGTTATTCGGGGTCTTTTGTTGTTCCATATGAATTTTTGGATTGCCACTTCTATTTCATTGAAGAATGTGGTTGGATATTGATAGGTATCGTGTTGAATTTGTAGATAGCCTTGGGAAGTATTGGATCTTCACGATGTTGATCCTTCCAATCAAGGAACATGGGAGGTGTTTCCACTTTCTAAGTTCTGTTTTGTTTATATTTTTCAGGTTTTTAAAGTTTTTATCATAGAGGTCCTTCACTTCTTTGGTTAATTCCTATTACGAATGGAGTCGCTTTCCTAATTTCAGCCACACTTTTCTCATTGTTGGCATACAGAAACGCCATTGATTTTTGAGGGCTAATTTTATATCCTGCTAGTTTGCCAACTTTTTGAATCAGCTTGAGTAATTTGGGAGTGGAGTCCATGGGATTCTTTTAATACAAAATCATGTCATTGCAAAGAGATCCCATTTATGTTTGCATCTTGTCTTATTACTGTAGATAGGCATTCTAATACTAAATTGAAGAGAATTGGATAGAGTGGACACCCTTGTCTCGTTCCTGAGTGAAGAGGAAATGGCTTTAATTTTTCGCAATTAAGTATAGTGCTTGCAGTACATTTGTAATATACAGCATTTATTGTATTGAGGAATGTTCCATGGATTCCTAATTTTTCCAGAACCTTCATCATAAAGGGGTATTGGATCTTGGCAAATGCTTTTTCTGCATCTATAGAGACAACCATGTGGTTCTTAACCTTGCTGTTGTTGATATGATGAATTATATTAATTGATTTGCATATATTGAACCAGCTTTGCATCCATGAAATTAATCTTGTTTGATAGTGGTGTATGATTTTTTTGATGAATAGTTGAAGTCGATTGGCCAAAATTTTGTTGAGAAGTTTTGCATCAATGTTCATCTAAACAATGGGTCTATAGTTCTCTTTTTTTTTTTTTTTTTTTTAATTTAATTTTATTTTATTTGTGAACATACTGTACAGAGGAGTTACAGTTACATGGGCAGGATAATGTGTACATTTCTTACCAAGCATTGCAGCCTCCTCCTTTGTTTATCCTTCACATCCCTTCCCAGCCTCCCCCCTCCCCCCCTAATCCCAATCCTTCTCCTTCCTCCCTCCCCCCAGCCCCCCCCCCCCCCCACCAACATTGTAAAGTTCGTTTTGGACATGACAACTTGTACTTCTCATTGTTGCAACAGGTCCACCTGTATCCTTAAACAACTGGTTTTTCCCCATCTCCTCCACAAGTTATACTGACATCAAATATAGTGAAAGCAAGGGTTATATTGTGGGGGAGGGACATACAAAGCAACAAAGAGATAATCTTATAAATGTGTTAGAAACACATGCATGAAAGAAAAAAACATTAAAATACACATCTAAGGGTTCATTTTCCTGACATCACATTATCTGACCTTTTCCGCTTGACTCATACATATACTAGATATTACAAATAAGGGAAACCATGGGACCTACGTTTCTTTGGGCCTGGCTTACTTCACTTAATATAATTTTTTCCAAGTTTTTCCATTTCCTAACAAATGGGGCAATGTCATTCTTTCTGATGGAGGCATAGAATTCCATTGTGTATATATACCACATTTTCTTGATCCATTCATCTACTGAGGGGCATCTGGGTTGGTTCCATATCTTAGCTATGGTAAATAATGCTGCAATAAACATAGTTGTGCTGGTAGCTTTAGTGTGGTCTTGTTTGTAAACATTAGGGTAAATGCCCAAAAGTGGGATTGCTGGGTCATAGGGGAGCTCTATGTGGAGTCTTTTGAGGAACCTCCATACTGCTTTCCAAAGTGGTTGAACAAGTTTACATTCCCACCAACAATGAATTAAGGTTCCTTTCTGTCCACATCCCCTCCAGCATCTGTTGTTGTTAGAGTTCTTGATTTTTGCCGTTCTCACTGGAGTGAGGTGATATCTCAATGTTGTTTTGATTTGCATTTCTTTTATGGCTAGGGATGTTGAACATTTCTTCATGTGTCTATTGGCCATCCTTCTTTCTTCTTC